GCAGCTCGTATGGTTAAACTTCTCTAAATGCAATTCGTAAAGACCAGACCTTGACTTGCATTTATAGAACAATAAAAAAAATTGTATCTTTGGAGTCTGGTATTTATTTGGAAAAATTAAGGATCATATTCAGAAGAATATGAGGGCTGTACTTAAAAAAGGCTGGTTGTAATTCCTTTTTAAAAGTTTTCTTCTACGTATGAATATATAAAAAAAAATAATAAAGATTTTTTACTACAATAAACATGTCTAGTATAATATTACGAGCGAAATTAATAAGATAAAAAGCTTTTGCTTTTAACAAGTACCTTTCATACCTTTGATTCATCTATAATTAAAAAAAAAAATTTAAAGACATGTAATTAATTATACTGTATTCATCTAAATCATTTGCTCTATAATAAACTTAATAAAAACAAAAACTAGCAAAAAATAAAAAAATAAAAAAAAAATAACAACTTCATAATAACAGCCAATAGAATAAAATGAATAGAGGACCAGAACAACCATAAAAAAAAGAATGGCTATGTCAATAAAAACAAAACAAGAAATATACCAACAAAGCGTAATGTTCTATTTCTTACTATTGATCAACTTTCTTCAGAATATAGCTGTGACCAAAGTACAATTTCAAAAATCTTGAAGGAAAAAGAAAAATGGTTGTTCATGCAACTAATGGAATCTGAAGAAAAAAAAAAGGTCAACTGACCAGCAAAATTTACTGAATTAAAAAATGCCATGGATATTTGGACAAAACGAATTCTTTCACAAAACAGAATACTAATAGATGGACTTCTACAAGCTCAAGCCAAAAAATTTGCTACATTATTGAACATACCTGAAGCTGATTTTAAAGCAAGCTCAGGTTGGGTGGATAGGTTTAAAAAAAGGAATGACCTTCGAAAATTTAAACTTGAAGGAGAATTTGAAAGTGTGCCCATAGAAGACCTTGATAATCAAAAGCAAAAGTTGGCCAAATTACTTTTACAATATAATCCCAAAGATATTTATAATGCTGACGAAACTGGTCTCTATTATAGGTATCATCATGTTATAAAATTTCATGTAATTTTATCAAACATATATAAAACACTAGCATTGCAAAAGTTTAACCAGTATTAATTGA